AAAGCATAAGGACAATTCAAAATAATTTACAGTAGCTACCTAATGATATTTAAACCGGCATGGAGCTTTAATTGAAATAACAAGTAGGTAGGTAAATATATGTACCTCTCAGTTAAGAAATAATAAACCATAAGAAGATTTTTGGATCAAACATTGACTATAGAGGTCCAATTGTCATTAAACTTCCTCTTTTTTCTGCATAAAACCCATTATATGGGAACTTTCTAAACAGTAGTACCTGCATTTCGGTATTACGAAAAATATAGCCCAATGCCCTTCTCGGGCATAAAGATCTAGTAGAAACGGGAGTTAGGAAGGGTAGAGGGTTGTGCTAGTTTTAGGGAAATGCGAAGATTAGCTCAGGATAGAAAAGAGTGGAGATGTGTGTCCAACCCGTCTTAGAACTGACAACCTTACGAGATGATGACTTGAATGATGAGGATACCGTGGATATAGAGAAGGTTAGAAATGAAGAGGTATTAGAATGAGAAGAGGCTATGGAAATGAATCAGAAACAAACCTCGAAAGGTTGGCAAGATTCCTTCTCTGGCATGAAGGGCTAATTAGAAACATATTAGAAGCAGAAACAGAAGCAGTAGAAGTAGACCTAGAATGGATTACTGTTCAAAATTAATTAAGGATGTGGGATGTTCAAGATTTAGGAAACTGCAAGATATTACCTCAGGATAGGAAAAAATAGTACCTACATGTCCAATCAATCTTAAGACTAACGACCTAATGATGATGATAACTTAAAAAAGTAATGAAATACAATGACGATTTCTAGATGTCCCGTCTTGTAGTTTCAGTTAGTATCTCTTATTCCCCTTCGGCCCAAAATCTCGTAGCAGGAGGCAGCAACTCCCCGACACAGCCGTGTATGCGCGTAATAAAATTTCATGAGAAATTAAATACGCAAACCGTGATCGTACCGTCTGCGCCCTCTGCGATTTCACCCAGTTCGCAATACGTCCATTCGCTTGATATGCTAGCGCGCTTATTATATCAAGCCGCACGAATAATGAGTAGAGAATATAGTGGCGGATCGCGTGTCCGCCGACATTAATTCACTCGAGTGTGTTTATTCGATTATTTATTTCATCATCATAGCACCCTCCGATCCATTCTTCACGCGCAGCTAATCGCGATTTGTCATGCTATGCGAACCAAACTTCACACATGGACATACATACATATATATCTACTAATGTTGTAGATATAATACACACTCATGCAACATGCATCTGGAACTGTGTAAAAATGCACAACAATAGGCATATTATATTTTACATAATATTATAAGTATCTACTTATAGGTAGTTTAAAATATTTAAAAACTTCTCCTTGAAACTAACATACGAAAGCAAATTCAATATACGCATTGAAAAGCATGCAGAAGACGGTATCTTGTAGTCTTTTAGTAATTAAAAATTGAATAAAGCAGTAAAAATATATGTAACACTTGCATATTAGTATCTAAAAGTGAAAATACTTTAAACATTAAATAAATTCATATTTTGAAAAATATATTGCGTTTCGGATAGCGACTTTCTAAACAGAAGATTTTAATTCCCTACAGCTTAAGCAGACATTACAATATCCAATCCCGAGGGAACTAAGAGTTAGGACTTCAATGAATAAAAAATATTCTTTTCCTATTGCAACTACTCCTTTGGAAATCGGTTAGGAATGTGATTCGCATTAAGGCCACATCAGTCATAAGGCATACCGTAAAAGGTTCGGATAGGGTATCGACATCAGGGCCGGATTAGTACAAATAGGGCTTACCGCTAAAGGGTTGAAACAGGGCATCAACTTTAATAGAGAATCCCGTAAAAGGGTTCAGGTAGGGTAACAACATCAGGGCCAAATCAGTCTAAATAGAGCATGTCGTAAAAGGGTTGGGATTCAGTATCCACATCAGGCTAAATAGAGCATACCGTTAAAGAGTTGAAATAGACTATCCAGATTAGACATCCATCAGTCTTACTAGGGCATGCTTTAAAGAGATATTACTGTCACTGGATAATTCCGCCATAAGAAGTCACTTATTTTCCTATTCCCTAACTCGCTTTATTTTAGAGATCTAACAAAAATCCCCAATAAGAAAAATAGCTATATCATACAGAGGTACGTCCTAGAAGGGGAGGAGGGCAATCCCTCTTTAGGATTTGCTACTTTGGAGCAGTTCCAACCAAAAGCAGCACCGAAACTCCAGCGAAATTCAAAAACCCAATAACCCAAATCTAAATGATTTAAACTCCGTAACCCTATACTCTAAGTGTTTTAAACCTCCTAACATTATAACCTAAACTATCAAAATACACCCACAAAGTAGGTTTCCTACAAATGCAATTGGCATTAGGTTTTATATAAGATTGACATTGGTTTAAAAATTTCATATGATGATAGAAATGGAATCAAAACAAATTAGTAAAGTTCCTTGAAAGCGAAAATCATATAAAAGACAAAACCATTAAAGGTCTCCTTCCATCATCACCATTATACCAATCCGCTCAAAAAAACCTCTGGATCCATGACCCAATGATACTAGAACCTAGAAAATTCGAGGTTTATCCTACAGTTTGGAAGTATATCTACTGGTTTTAGCAGGATGCGATTGAGTTGTGTGTTTTTATTGGTAGGTAGATGAATACGTCTCGTGTGCTTTCTGGGTACCTAAATATTTGAATATAAGTACTTTTTTCTGTTTGCAACTCTTAAGGATCATGATTAGCAATTATGGAGTTGTTGAAAACGCTCTTTTTAATTTCTACTGAGCCGGCCTAATGGTAGGTTCAGTTCAATTAGGAAAAAGCTTGTTAGGCAAAATGGAGAAAAAAGATCAGTTTGCATTTACCTATCTTCGTTACAAAAACAAAAAAAAAAGTAGGCATTAATCAAGAGGCAACTCCGTCAAAAATGTCACAAACGCCACATTTTTCAGCCAGATTATGAGGAACAAAAAGGGATATATTACGGGTGTCTATGTCTGTGTGTGTATATAAATCAGAGACCATTAGCCATTAGTGTTACGAGCAAGTAGCAAGCGCTGCTCAGGCGCGTTCATTTGTCTAAACAAAGCGGCCTGCTTGGATCCATTAATCAGCGCACGACTGTTGACCGGATACGCCCACCTGACTTGCACCAATCGCGAGATCCCTACCTGCGTCAGTTGTACCAACATTGATCCGTTGTTTCGATATTTACCTAGGAATTATTTGTGTAAAATAACTCTCCAATTCATCGTTTTTGGTACCGCTGATGCTGCAACCATTTATTTTAAGCAGTGGAACGAATCTAGACAGCCGGCGATTCGCAAATTCGACTTAAAATGGCACCAAGGACCGTTTTTTTGAGGTTAGAATGGACAGACAGCAATGTGGCAATGGTCTCGATTAGTGTACACACCTCAGATTTTATTGAAATTATGGCATATTGTGCAGTTCACTATTCTGAACAAGAATATGTACCTACATACACTGGGCCCGCAAACCATTCCTCTGCATAGTTTTCGAGTCTTGAAAACCTAACCTAACGTTAGCGTTAACAAAAGAAGCTACACGATTTCGTTCGTGTTGCCGTTGTCTACTGTAATTTTATAATCCTCGCCATTCAAACAAAAGCATAATGTTCGGTTAAATTAAGATCATAAGAGGGTACGATAAGTAAAGACAACACGAACGTAGTGAACAGTGTACATTCTTTTGTTTACAGTAATGTACATCTACAAAAGATGACCTCAAGTTAGGTTTGGTTTAACTAGTTCTGATTATCACTTTTTTGAAGCTCTAAAACTATGCGGATTGTACAATACCAAAATTCCAACGAAATTTGCCTACACATCTAGATCATTACCAAATCGATCTTAGCCCTCATTTAGATAATTTTTCCTTATACCATCACATTTCCAACTGCCTTTAACCACAGCTTCACAACAAATCAAACTGTAAATGTTCCTTAATACTGTTCTGACTAACATGGAATTAGTATTCTTAAGAGGTGAAAGAGCAAAGCACTCGAAGAAAGTAATTTTAAAAACATTAAAATAAAAAATTATGAGGTAGTCAAAATTTCAAAATAAAATTTCCTGATAAAAATAAATCTAAAATTATAAATGGCACCTGCCCATTAGATACTGTAAATTATCATTCCATTCTGCATTTTTTAAATAACAAGACTTAGAAATTCTAGTCTTTTCAAATTTAGAGCCTACTTAACTCTTCCCGAAAATAAGTACCCAATTCAACTTTTGTTTGAAAGCTTCATAATATTACTCATTTACTAATTGCATTAAAAAGCTTTAAAACATTTACTGATTAAGTACAGGTCGGACGAAGAAAGCTGGCGAACAGTCGCGCAGGTACTTGCCCATTTATGACCTATTTGGGTAAGTCACTCGGAACGGATACACAAATAAGCTTTCAGATATTTATTTTAAATATTTAATCTACGCCGCTGATAAAAATACTGAAGAAAGAGGGCTACAATCATTATACCTAAAATTGCCTACTGTTGCCACCGCGCATCTACGCCATTTAAAAATTTCCGCCAGCTTTCAGCGTCAGGCCTGTACATACTTTTTATTAGTAAAAAATATGCCTTTCTCGCCATCTAACGGCTATTTCATAAATCTACCTCGTTTATAGGGGCGGTAACTGCCCTCTAGTGGTGACAGTCCAAACATTCGTGCTACAATCAATACAAGATGGCAGCAAACGTGTGGCGACATCAGAGAGCGGTTTGCTCAACTACTTCCACAACGTTGAGTTACCGACTTACAGTTTCCTAAACCAATGTCGATAAACTGCAGTTACCTTATTATAAATAGCGCGAAACTTTAAAATGTCTCTGACGAACGAATTCAGGGCAAGTCCTTAGGAAACTAATTAAAGTATTGTTGAGGAGATTAATAAACGATAATGATCAATAATGACTTTTAATATTTGTACGAATTAAAAGTCATTGCTAAAAAGCGTAGGTGGCGCAGAGCACTCATTGACCTAGAGAACTAAAATAAACTTGATTTGTATTGCTGATGAACATTGCAGCTATTCGTGTGTTTTGTATTTGGTTGATACCCATTTTACAGCTGAAATGCAATATTTAGGCTAGAAAGCGGTGTATAATTGGTGCTAATTAAATGTGAGGCTGTTGGAGGTACAACGAAGTTATTTCTATTAACAAGTAAGTGGAATTTTACCCTCGATACTCAATATTTGCGCATTTTACTTTGAAAATATCTATATTTGAAGGAAAACCTACAGGTGAGATACCGAATAACGTAACATACATTAAAATACCTGCAACAATTGTCAAACAAAAATCCTAGTGCAACAAAGATTAATACCTACTGTGAAATAATATTTACAAAAGTAAATTGAATCTACGAGGTAGACCTAAATATAAATTGTTACATTATTTTGCAAAATTTGATAATGGTAGATATGACCGCAATTAGTAACAAAAAATGATATTGCTAAATTATATTAGCTCTATTACTGATTATTTAATAAAAAAAAAATGGAATTAATAATCGTTGTTTAGATGTTTCTTATAATAATTTACATATAAGAATACTTAGGCATAAACGAATTTTGTTTTGATCATTTTTAAAGTCTACAAACACCTACAATTCATGATACGTTAAAATGAAAATATACGTCTGAACTATTTTAATTAAAAATATGGTTCCTAAAATAGATTGTTTAATCTATTTTTGTTACGTTTGTCCTATAAGTAAATAACTGTATGATCTTTATTTTACTTGTTACCATTTTATTTATGGAGTACAAAAGTGCAATAAAGAATATTTTGACAAGTTTAAAAAATTGTTGGGAATAGGAACGAACCTACTTTTCGGTAAGAATCGACAAAATATTTACCGAGTAGTTAATATCTCCAATAATACGAGGTAGTGTCAAAAAGAAAAGGAACCGACAATCAATAATATAACTTATATCAAAACCCAATTTGGCAATTGCTGTAAGGTCTTTATGATTCTTTTTCTCGGTCCTTTTAGGACTTGAAACGAGAAAGAAGATCCTTAACAATGCCGCTTGTGGTTGCAATGGCTCTCTCCGGTCTAGAAGCAGATCAATGGAACGACGAATTACGCGAAATGTACGAACAAGGGGCTCAATTGGTGCACAAGTCGTGTCACCACGATCTACTGAGGAGACCATCGGTCTCTAGTCCGAGTGCTTCCTCAGTAGCTTCGTCTTATCAATCATCTATCGAAAGTGGAATATCTTCGTTGTCCCCAAGCTCCGGCTCTGGTGAATTTGTCAGCCCTTTTATTAGCCAACCACCCTTGGAGTTAACATGTATAGGGCTAAGCCACAGAGCGAGAGCCGTGGAGGTAAGAATGACATGTTATTGTTTTTTCTTATGAAAGTACATGCGGTATAATAATATGCAGTTAAAATTAATTTATTAGAAAATTTCATTCTTAAACAACGAAAAAACGCAAAAAAAAATATTTATGTTCTTTGTAAGTGTTCGATAGGTAAGACCAGTTAGCGCTGCGCGAATTTCAAAACCAGCATTTACGTAATTGTTAATAAAACAAAAGTTCAAATGTCACCTCTTGAATAAATAATTCAACGAGTTAAAAATACGATTTTGTTTTTAATTACCGATTTGATTATACACCAAAACAAATCTTTTTTATATTTTGTCACGAATTAATACAAATGAAAAAAAAAATATTACTATTCTGCATACACATATGTTTTCATTTTATTATAGGACATCGAAAAAGAACTTTTTCGTAAAAGTACTCCAAAGGGGACGGCTGATTTTTCGCAACGACGTTACGGAGGAATTCAGGTAACAATTAAATATAGAGATCGAAACGTGCTAGAGCTGGGGGACCATATCAAAAACACACGCAATTTTTTCGACCCGGCTGTGATACCGAAAGGTGTAATGAGCTATTTCGAAAATCGATCGCAAATATCGCGATTGAGTGGGGCCGAACCACCTAATTTTCGTTTCCACAAATGTTCCTATTCAGAATGTGGTTTCAACGAACCACATTACTTCTAATAATCATTTTATTATGTCACCGAGAATCGATTGCCATATTATTATTATTATTACTGAAGGGGGTATTTGTTTTATTTTCTTAAAATGTGAAAAACCGCATCGTAAAGAGGAAAAAATAGAAAAAATGCAGTATTAGTCTTGAAACAAAATTTTACGATACCCGCCACCAAAATAACGTAAAAAGTCACTACCTAGATAATATTCGGTGCCGTAGATATTTTAATAATTAAGTATTTAAACATATAAATCCTACCTAAGTATATATATAGTTTCGTGGTATTTACGTGAGAGTACTTACTAATGTTTTTCAAGGTGTGTGATAAGAGAAAGTGCAATTTTAATACTTATGTGTAGAAATAATTATTATAATAATTGACTTATTGAAAATATTTATATTCTTTAATAGCTTCGAAAACTAATCAAAAATGCACAAGTGTCAATGCAGATGATAACCGAAACGCTTTTTCGTTTTTATAAAACTTAACCAACTAAACTTATTAACAAAAGAAAAACTAAAATGCATTTAATTTAGACTGTTGTGTTGCAAAAAAAATACAGAAATGACAAAGAAATAATTTTCTCTAATTAAAATGACACATTCCCTAGAAGTTTTCACTATAATAAAATTTAAAGCTCAAAGTAATAATTCTAAAGGAGTAATTGTCTGATGACCTTTTTAATTTTACCTTTAGAATGTTGATTTTGCAATCATACCATTTAAGAACGAATCTGGTATTATATAATTATATAGTATTTTGACAATGTCAATAATAAACAAATTAAACAATTGATCTGAATTCCTTTGGGGAAAACTTTTAAGAAATTTAACTAATCTAACGAAATGTAAAATTCGGTACTTCCTTATTTGAATAGGTACCTTGTATTTTTAAGATAAAAAAAAGCAATATAAAGTTCATATATCATGTACCTACTCTTAGTTTATGGTCGACTGAAGGATATATTTGCGTAAAAGCTGATTTAATGTAATTACGCTTATATGATAAGAACGTCTGTGATATCTATCATAATTTTACTCACGCATCGAATTTCGAAAAATCGACAACTTACGGTTAACCAGTTTCAGTACAGGGTGGTCATAGCTATAACTCACATAACAAACTACCACCTAAGTACTTTGGATTCTAACATTAATTGTTCACATAATATTCATAGCGATTACTTATTAATAACGTAACATGTGTTTTACTTTTTGCACCGACCCTGTATATGCATATTTAAGGATTATATAAGACGTGTGTAATGCCAAAGTGTTTAAATGTTTATTTTGGTTTTCAGTTAATTAATTATAGTATAAGCATTTATGAATAAGTTTACCAAAGGTTATAGGCATCTACTTCCTAGTTTAAACGTTTTTTTTTTATTTGTTTCACTGATTTTAGTTTATAAGGATAATATGTAATAATAATGATGATGATAATGTGATAAAGATAATGATTATATCTATGTATCTGTAATTAGAAGAGAGATATTCATTTTGGACAATTATTTTATAAGCAGTTTGTTTTATTATTGTTATTATTATTAACCGCAATGAATGTACCTACCTATTTTTGTGATCTGTTAACAAACAATTCTTGTGATAAAGTGCGTATGTTATTACTATGTAATGTATGTAAATCTATCCTGCCCTTATAAGTAAAATTGACTATTATTTTTATACAGTTGCTACACAACAAGAAAAAGACCTCAGATATTTTAAGAAATAAAAAAAAACAAGTCAACCAACATTTGTTTGTTTTTCAATTTCACCCTGTGTAAAGTACATAAAGTTTAATATAAAGTTGGCTGTCACACTTAAAGCTATTGCACAACATAAACTAATCTCAAATACGCAACAGTAGTTTCTTTGCTTTTTGTTTCACCCTGTATAAGTATCTGATAAAAAAGGCTGATGAAATTTAATATGTAATTTAAAAAATGAGAGTAATTGTAAAATACTGTTTTAGTTCATATAGTAACAATCCTCGATAATGCTAAAATTAATTTGTATATCGTTCCTTATCAAAGTTTTAGAAACATTTATAAAATTGTAAATTTAAAAAATTCTGCATTTGTGCGCCATCTGCTGTTTTTCACGTTAACGAAGTCATTCTAAAATGTAAATGGTGCAGAAATCTGGCTTTAATACAGCTATTCTTGTCGAGATGGCGCTCGCACACAATACTGTTCAAAATGAGAACTATTCAAATAGTTTCTATACAAGTTTTGTTGAAAATATCGTTTTTTATAAACAATACCTCAAAAAAATACAGCATTAACGCAGAATTTGTTACTCCTTTGAAATGTAAAAATTTTACCCCTAATACTTATCACCAAATTTCAATACTAAAACAAAGCCATAAAACTATTATAATTTAATGCCCTTGGCGCTATAAAAGTTTTAAAATTTTTGCATAACATAAAGTATCCTATAAAACGACGTAAAACGCTCTACTAGTTGAAAGCTCCCTTTTTTCCAAAAGGCTTATTATTAAACAACGTATTGTTCAGAGTTTTATTTAAAGCTCTTAGATATACGAAAGCTGGAATGGAACATCTCTATTCAACTTATTCATAACGGAACAAAAGCCATAGTGATGTAATTAAAAACTGCATTCATCTGTTTGTCTTCCCCAAACAATTGAAACAATACGTTTTTTACTGTGCCTTTCTTTTGTTCGTCCATGGTTTGCTGTGATTGTTGTACTCGACCGCAACACTGTACTGTTCTAACGCACACAATACTTTTTGTTCTCAAAAATTAATGACTCTTCTCTTTCCTCTCTGCAACTGATCTCCGATGGATATTCTGCTTGCCTTGGCAACCGTTTTTTTTTTTTTTTTCACTTGCTTTGTACGAATTTTCTCCATACATATACACACAAACATAATGCTATATACTATGGTTTATGTGTATGGAAATTCTATTTTCTTAAAAGCAAAAGCAATCCACGCTATAGTATCCAACCAGCGTGCAAAAGATTCAGCTAGCAATATTTTCACAATAATAGCAAAGAACCGATAACCGGAGGGCTCTTTTAAAACCTACGTAATAATTTTCCTAAACTTTTTTCCAAAGACGAAGGAACAGTACTAACGATATTTATTGTATTGTCATATATTTCTACCCACATAAATTAAATACATGTTTGATAAATCCTACGACTTACTAGTGAACATGTCCGAAGTCATTCATAATTTTAGTTTCAGAAGTTTGGGAAACAGGAAAATGTGGGACATATACATCAAATAGAGTTGCACAATGATTTAGCCTACAAAAATATTTAATGTTTGTCAAATTTGATTTCCAAAGTCTATATCTAAAAAAGTTTCATCATAATCATGAGGTCGTCACAGTCCTAAGACTGGTTGGACACTCACCTTCACTCTTTCTAACCCTGAGCTAATCTTCACATTTCCTAAAACTAGAACAGCCCACATCCTTAACTATTTGCGAACAGTAATCTAATCTAAGTCTACCTCTACCCCTCCTAACTTCCGTTTCTGCCTCTAATATGTCTCTGACTAGACCTTCATGCCCCAGAAGGTGTCCTACCAACCTATCTCGCCTATTTCTTATTGACTTCCGTAGAGTCCTCTGTTCTTCTATTCTTCCTAATACCTCTTCATTTCTAACCTTCTCTATCCACTGTATCCCCATCATTCGCTTGCAACACCACATTTCAAACGCTTCCAGCTTTTTCTTTTCCGCCGTGCCCACTGTCCATGTTTCGCAACCGTACAACGCCGCGCTCCAAACATACACCTTTAACAACCTTTTTCGAATTTCTAAATTAACCGTTAGCGAGCATAGAAGTGACTTCTTTTTATTACAGGCGACACGACTCTGCGCTATCCTCTGCTTTATATCCCTACTACTCCTTCCATCCTGACTTATCTGACTTCCTAGATACCTAAAATCAGCCACTTCTTCTAATTTTTTGTTTCCTATCTTTATATTCCCTCTTTTCCTACTTTTTCTTCCCTTGCATACCGGTATTTTTGTTTTGCTTTTATTTATTTTCATACAATACTGTTTTGTCTCAAAAACTTTAGCGTTCGTAAAATTGGAAATTAACTTTGTTCCAATTTCCCTACACCATGTTGTATATTTTTCAAAAGATGATTGCATGTAAAACAGTGGGAACCCTACGTTCGCTTCTCAATTTCCCATTAGTGCAAGTGATTTTTTTTATTATTAAACGGCGCAATAATGAAAGGAAAAATGTAAAATGCAATGAATAATATTAATACGAATTTATATAGAAGCCGGACGATACCATGGACCCCGGCAGCTTGTATAGCGACTTGTTCTTTCTGATTGTTGTAGAACAAGCAAGTGAAATAGTAAATGCATCATTGTTCATTTTTTACGGTAGCGGAGATGAATAGAAAATCTAAAATCCTCCCTCCACAATACGATCGCGTGTCCATTGTTACATTCACGTTTTATGGGGTAAATATATGCACGCGGATAGACATCATAGTGGAATGAAAGCGCCACGGGATTTATGCAGATAATCTCGACAAAAGGACTCAGATACAATAGATTAAAATCGTTGTTAAAATTTTCACAACTACCATACTGTATATTACTCGAAATGCACCCCTACAATGCACTTTTCCTTTATAATACATATGTATGCATTGTACATCTACAATACGCACAATAATTCACAAACCTGCATCGTTTGGAAAAAGCCTGCAAAAGATCGCAGAGTTGACAAATAAAATTGTTCTATAGCAGTCACCGAAAATTTTGTATGGGACGTTTGGCATCTTATTAGTTGGGTCGATGGTCCGATTTTTGTAAAACATTAATAAACAATATACAAATAAAACTCCGTTTTGGTTAGAATAATTCCTTCAATACCTGAATCTAACCAGAGATGTGCAAAGCCTCTACCTAAGGATTTTCAAGCTCTAAGTCCAGAGCCCCTACTTAAAGTGCTTTAGTCCTACAACCCCTCCTCAGTTGAACCTACAATGTGTACATAGGTAATATCTGAGTAATCGAAGATCGAAAAAATTTTTTTTCACTTCGAATAATACGCAGATATGTTGTGTAATCTATCTATCTACCAACTACATCAGCAGACGTTTCGCAATTACACTGTCGCTTCCACTAATTGCATGCACACTTCATCGTGTCATTATCGCAAAACGCATTATACATTCCGTGGTCCCGTCCCACAACAGCATCCCGTTTTGTTCCAGAGTGTGTACATCAGGCGTCGCGTCGCCCAAGTCGGGACACTACCGCGAAATCATTCTACCGCTTCATAATACGTAAGTGTGTAGGTTGGTATATCTGCGTGATGGAATTGAACGAATGACTAACTTTATCCTTATCGAAGTAACTTTGTGTGTATGTCTATACTTATCCTACAGGCGACACAGGATGGATAAATGGAAAACGTATCCCCTATCATTGTAAACGTAGGTATAATGCATTATATCTATTGGAAGGTCTAAGAATCCAGGTACGAACGAACGTTTATTCCTGTGCAAACAGAATGTACCAAGTGCCTCAAAAGTCTCCAAAGTATCTTAAAAGTAAACAACCGGGCGCTAAAGAACAAATATATTTTTCGATTTGATGTAGAACAGGATCAGAACTTGGTAAAGCTCTCACCAAAAGAGCTCCAAGAGCTAAGCAGAAAATCTTGCTAAAAGTACTTTGGACCTTGAAACCCCAATTACACATTAAAATTCAAGGACCAATTACCCGCAAAGCAATGAAATCCTTAAGCACTTTCAAAGGGCTTTAGCTCCTTATTCATAATTCTTGAGACCCTTTGAACTACAAATTATAAAGCACTTTTATAAAGTAATTGGCTTACCAAGTTACCAAATTACAGTATTTTCAAGCACATTTTCAAGTACAAATCACTAAAGTTTTACCAAGTTTCGGATATTTATCGAATTTTATTTACAAAACAGACTTAACCCAAACAAATTGCATTCAATTTTGGCATCAGACAACAACCAGTATTTCAGCAATTGAAATTAACCACATCAGCAAAACGCTTAAGATAATAATATTTCAAGCAGTTTTATAGCTTCGTAATAAAATAAGATGAAGTAGATTTTGAAAATTGAATTCAAACAATCAGCAAAATGTTTTTAAAGTTATTCTTACTTTAGAGAGCACTGTTCATTCACTGCTGAGCCGTCTTTCGTTACATAACACACGTATATCTCTCGCTCATCTATTGTTCGTAATCGAACAAAAACCGCATGTATCAAATAATAAGGTAATAGATTTTGTTTCCAGTAGGTAAATCCTGATTAAATTTGGAATTATCGTGTCGTAATTCAATAATTTTTATTGTTCAAGACAACGAATGTATATACGTACAATAGATAATGATGTTATTGTTAAGATAAACACTGACTAGTTATTTATTACAGTCAAAGTATTTGGCAAATAGATAATTTAGGGTTCTGAAAGCAACATTCCAGTAATGCAAGACACGGGGGTACACACAGAGCTAGGCAAAGGTCTTTAAGTCTAACGCCCTCACTTAAAGTGCTTTAGCCCTTGAAGCAGCTTTTGCTTCTAGACCCTGAAAGGACTAGAAGCACACTGACAGTCACAAACTACTAAAGTTCTACGCAAAAAGTTTGTATTTTCTTAGTTCTTCAATCAGTATCGAAGATAATTATCGATGTCGATGAAAATTCCCACATCGCAGAGTAGCAACCCGCTAACACCGTTCTAAAGTCCACGCAATA